GTTTCCATGAGATGATCATATTGCATTAAGGGCAGTGGGTCCCCCCCACACCATTCACATCATGCCAGATACTGGAGGAAGACAGCAGCGGCAAAGAAATGAAGGCCCAGCAGAAGCAAGAGACACTATGGAGTCTGGGGTCTGCGGGCCTTGCCTGTCTGGGATTCACCCATCAGGGTTTTGTTTCCTGGTGGCTGAGCCCCTGAAGTCAATTGCCATCTGCTGCTCCTCTGACATGGCCACAAGCATTAATGTAAGGATCTATTTAGACTCCTTATCCTAGAGTTACCTATTTATTTATTTAGGACAGGGTTTCACTATGTAGCTAGCCCTGGCTGTCCTGGAACTCACTATGTAGACTAGGCTGGCCTTAAACTCACAGAGATCCTACTTCTGCCTCTCAAGTGCTGAGATTAAAGGTGTGCTTAACACCATGTCTGGCCTATAGACATATTAATAAATGAAATTATACACTTTTTGAGAATTGTATTAAAATAACATCCAGGATTACTACACAGCAATAAAAACATACATGGTTCCTTGGACGAACATTATCTATAAAACTGACTAAGGAAACCAGACTGGACATTGGCTCAGTCAGTACAGAGCTCACCTAGGAGTTATGAAGGCCTGAGTTTAATCCTTAGCACCACAGGAACATACCTGTAACTCCAGCACCTGAGGTAGAGGCAGGAGGATCAGGAATTCAAGCTTATCTTCTGCTACATGGTGAGTTTGAGGGTAGCCTGGGCTATGTGAGACTTTGTGGCAAGATCTGTCTCAAAAGAAACAAGCAGACAGACAGACAAAGAAGCTCGACGTTAACTGGGTGGTGGCACATGTCTGTCATCTCAGCAGTGGGTGGTGGAGGCAGGAGGATCAGGAATTGGAGGCCACGGAGCTAGTTCAAGGGCAGTCTGAACCACAGGAGACCCTGTCCCAGGGGAGATAGGAAGGCTCAGAGCAAACAAACCAGCCTTTTGAGATACTCTTTAGCAGAGTGCCCACTGCCCACCTCACAGGGAAGGACGAGAGCGCGGGAATTGCCCTCCCTAGGTCTTGTTACAAGGGGCCGGCCATGTGCGAACTGCCTGGGCTGAGGGAAATGATGCCCATCTCATCGTCATAGCAACCTCTCCTGTTAAAACTCTTCAAAAGCTCCCTAGGCAGGGGCTGGAGAGAAGGCTCAGCGGTTAAGAACACTGGCTGTTCCCGACAGCAGCTCATGACTACTGTAACTCTAGCTGCAGGGGATCTGACATCCTCTTCTGGTCTCCAGTGGGCACTGCATGAACGTGAGCATACACGCACTCAAGTGTGTACGCACACACACCAATAAAAAAATCTTTTCACTTAAAATGGGCTTTCAGCAACTCACCAGAGAAAGGGAGGGTTTCCAGGTCCTGAGGCGAATAGAGGAAAGCTGGAGGATGACGGCGGCCAAGGTCACCGGAGTCTCAGCAGGACATGGTGACCAAGAACTTGCCAGGCTCCAGACTGTCTTTCTTGGTGTTGTTTGTAGCTCAGCTTATAAACATGGGGCAGTGTCCGCCTGGCGGCTTGTCAGCCCGTCTACTGGATAAATAGTGTGAAGTTGGCTGGAACTCTGCAGCTATTTGCTGTCAAGAATAATTTAGTAGAACCATAAAACTCGACGCAGCTTCTATCTCATGCTTCAACTAACGTACAGATAGCTATGAATCATCTTTATTCACACATTAGGGTGGGGTTCCAGGGAAGAACTGGAGAAAACTTGGTGAAGAACAGGATATTACCAGGCCATCTCCTGTAAGATGACTTGTTGGCCCCAGCACGCTGGCTCAGCGTAGAAAAGCACCAGGCACTCAAGCTGAACGACTGGAATTCAGTCCCCAGCAGCCACGTGAAAAGCCAAGAGAGCAACGCACATCTGGAACCCTACACTCCTACTGCGAGACGTGAGGCAGGAGAACCACGCACCTCATGTAAACAGCGCAGGCGCAGAAACGACACCAGAGACCCCATGTCAAAAAAGGAGGAAGGAGAGAACTGACCCCCCCAAAGCTGTCCTCTGACCTCCACATATGCACCATGGCATATGTGTGTCACACACACACACACACACACACACACACACACAGGTATTAATTACAAAACGAAACATAATTGAGACAGAGAAACTTAAAGAACACATTAACCAAATGGTCCCTATCCATCTCATCACTGATGGAATAAACCCACAATATATGCCTTAAGATAAGACAGATGCTGTATCCATCAATGTTTCTGGGGCTATAATAAAAGGAGTATTTAACTCATAGTTCTGGAGGCCGCTGGTCTGGCCTGTGGTGGAGGCCACCTTGGTCACACAGAACAGGGCAAATGGCATCAGGCAGGAAGCCACAGAAAAGAAAGGAACTTACTCTCACAAGAACTCTCTCCTTGCACAGTAACCCCTCCAGAAAACAGAGGCCCTACCTAACACACACTGGAAACAAGCTCTGGGGACACAGGCAAACCAAACATAACCCACAGTGGACATGTACCACTTCTGCAATATACACATAAAACATCAATTCAATGATGAGAAGAAAACCTAAGTTCGATAACATTAGTAGTGGAAAAGTCAAAGACCACAGGTTACATTGTCCTGTGGAGAGGTTAAAAAAAAAAAAAAAAAAAACCAACCAAGGGGCTAGAGAGATGGCTCAGAGGTTAAGAGCACTGACTGCTCTTCCGGAGGTCCTGAGTTCAATTCCCAGCATATGGTAGTTCACTCTAGTTGCAGGGGATCTGACATCCTCTTCTGGTCTCCAGTGGGCACTGCATGCACGTGAGCATACACGCACTCAAGTGTGTACGCACACACACCAATAAAAAAATCTTTTCACTTAAAATGGGCTTTCAGCAACTCACCAGAGAAAGG